TAATACGAAAAACAAACACAATACATTATCAGAAACAAATTTAAAAACGCATAATCAACCAAACGATTGATCCATCATCATGAGCATAACACCAAAAATCTAGTAATCCTCACCCTCTTCTTCATCTCCTTCAGCTGACTCGGCACCAACTTCCTCGTAGTCCTTCTCCAAAGCAGCAAGATCCTCTCTCGCCTCAGAAAATTCACCTTCCTCCATACCTTCTCCAACGTACCAGTGCACAAAAGCACGCTTAGCATACATCAGATCAAACTTGTGGTCAATTCTTGAGAAAACTTCTGCCACACTAGTCGAGTTGGAAATCATACAAACAGCACGTTGAACCCTAGCCAAATCACCACCGGGCACAACTGTAGGTGGCTGGTAGTTAATACCGCACTTGAATCCTGTTGGGCACCAGTCAACAAACTGGATAGTCCTCTTAGTCTTGATAGTGGCCACAGCTGCATTAACATCCTTTGGGACAACATCACCACGGTACATCAAACAACAAGCCATGTATTTTCCATGGCGTGGATCACATTTTACCATCATAGACGATGGCTCGAAAGCAGTGTTGGTGATTTCAGCAACAGATAGCTGCTCATGGTAGGCCTTTTCAGCGGAGATAACTGGCGCATATGATGAAAGCATGAAGTGGATCCTAGGATAGGGAACCAAGTTTGTCTGGAACTCATTCACATCAACATTCAAAGCTCCATCAAATCGCAGAGATGCTGTCAATGAAGAAATCACCTGCACGTGTCAAGGTAACATAAAAAAAAAAAATCAATACACTAATTGATCAAAAGTCGTGGGACAAAGATCTAAACATTAATCAACAATATTAATGTTTCAACGAATGTATACCTGAGAAATGAGCCTGTTGAGGTTAGTATAAGTTGGCCTTTCAATGTCAAGTGATTTGCGGCAGATATCATAAATAGCCTCATTATCAAGAAGCACAGCAACATCAGTGTGCTCCAAAAGAGAATGAGTTGAAAGCACAGAGTTATAAGGCTCAACAACAGCAGTTGAAACCTGAGGGGAAGGGTAAATTGTGAAACCCAACTTTGACTTTTTACCGTAGTCAACCGAAAGCCTTTCAAGCAACAGTGATCCAAGCCCAGATCCGGTACCACCACCAACAGCATGGAACACCAAGAACCCTTGCAGCCCAGTGCAATTATCAGCAAGCTTCCGGATCCTGTCAAGACACAGATCCACGATTTCCTTGCCAATGGTGTAGTGTCCTCTAGCAAAGTTATTGGCAGCATCCTCCTTCCCGCTGATGAGCTGTTCCGGGTGGAAGAGTTGGCGATAAGCTCCAGTGCGAACCTCATCGATCACAGTAGGCTCCAGATCTACAAAAACAGCCCTCGGGACGTGTTTTCCAGCACCAGTTTCACTGAAGAAGGTGTTGAAGGC